CCTAAACACCAGCCGTATGTGCCCGGCTTTGCTGTGCTGTCACTACAGGCTTTCAGTCGATCATAGCCAGTCACCTACTCTCCAAGCGGAGGTTTTGACTTTGACTTCGGCGTATGTTTTGCTGTTTTTATCTAGCTTTCTTTTTGTACTGGTATCTTTTTTCGCCGGCCGAAAGCATGTTGAATACTCATACTGCCCTGCCGATGATACTGTTGCCAATTTGATACTATCTTGCCAATTTGATACTGTCTAAGTGTCTTGCCGTTTTGATACTGTCTTGCAGAAGATTGCTGTCTTGTAGCCACCAAAAGTGGCCACCAAAACCTCATTCTTGATTTTTTGAGGGTTCAAACTACCTTAAATCTCCAGTGAGAAGGAAAGGATGTCTGTCTTCCTCGGCGTGTTGTTCCATCTTTCGTCTGAGTCCAGTCGACCAGTTGTCTTTCCCCTGCCGAGTCCATCGCTCACTCCTGTCACTCTCTCATCCCCTCCGTCACACGCACATCCTTATATGGTCATCCGCCACCTACGTCACCCGCTGCGTGACGTCACGTTCTGCTGACGTCGTGCTAATTTGTGCATGTGTGTGTTTATGGTCGTCCTACGTCATCAGGGGCTAAAGTGACAGGTGCGAAAGTGCTGAAAATCACACGTTCCTATTTTAATCGTTATCAATCTTTATTATAATATCAATCGTGCAAATATAGCGCATGTACAATGGGACAAGATATTGTAAACTCATTTGCTAGAAAAATATATACATTGTTACTGTTTGCTCATAGTACTAGTACCATGGAGCTGTTATAACTTCTTCACTCATGGCTAAGCGTTTTCTATGAATAAAGAGATGACCTTGACTTGAATCTAGTCAAGCCGTGGATATATCTATGTTTGTGCTACGCTGAAGCCAACCCACTGAAATATAAAACGACAACGTGATGACATAGATGCTGTGTTTGCTATAAAATATTGTGGAAAAAAGCTGATATACTACGCCGCTAGAAACATCCGCAAAGCAATTTCTGTTTACAATTTCCAAAAAGTACTGTGTGGTTCGGTTTGTTCCTATGTCTTCTTGCAACGTAGTCCCTCTTTCAAGAAACAAGAAGCGAAAACAAATTGAAATATGTCTAAAAAAGAAGACGACGCATAATATCAGGTTATAAACCTAATCCCCATATCTGCTTGAAGACAACGATTTTTCCTTCACTCGGGTTTAGATACACAGTAGCAGAGGCGGAGCACCCCCCCCCCCAGACGTGACGGACGGTAGTTGTACGTGTCCCAGAGGCTCGCCTCCACCAGTCTGTCCTCTGTTTGTACAAGGATCCAAAGCGTAACTAAACCGTTACAGTTTTAGATAAACCCGGTAACACGCTGCCTGGAGCATTCCGAGCCGGGGAGACTGGCAGGGCTAGGGAGAAGACGGACGGGCCCGGGCGGGGGGAGGGTCGGTCCGTGCCGCGGGCCCGTCTTGTTGATGTCCCGCTGTCAGGGGCATGACGAGAGAACCCGGGTTGATGTCTGGTCCGCCGGCTAACACAAAACATTAGTGGATGTTAGAGCAACACAGTAATAAACAATCGGCCGCTTAATGTGTCTGTCCACATTCATCACTGCACGCTCTCACTCCCTGCAACCTTTTGCCCCGCGCTGGGCAGAAATACGCCGCCTGGAAACAATTTTCGAGCTATTCCCACCCGGCAGACCCCTTTTTAATCCCGCGCAAGGAACCAATTTGGTCCCTGACGGCAGGGCAGGGCAGAGCTGGCGGCCAATCATTATAAAATCAAATTTCCCCCCAGCGTCCTTGTTTAATCGGCGAGTCGCGCGCCGCGGATTAGGCTGGCAGTAAACGTGCATATGAATTACTGCGCGTGGGACGGGACCTGGCGTTCCGGGCTAGTCTATACCAAAATCATGCAAACCTCCTAGCGTCTGCTAGCCTCTGCCAGGCTTCGGGAAGTGGCTCGAAAGAGTAGAAATTGGCCAAATAGAGATAACATGCCAGGGAAGTTGTTCCGCTCAAGAGTACACTTTGCTGCTATTTGGTCAATTTCTTTTATTTCCCGCAAAGCCTGGTAGAGGCTATCTCCGGTAATCTCCAAGCAGATGTTTAGGTGACGCAAAAGACAGTATCAATCAAATTGGTCAGGCAGTATCCATTACCCAGACTGTATCCACTAGACTCATACAGTCTGGCCAATGGATACTGCCTGGCCAGTTTGATACTGTCTTTTGCGCCACCTAAACATCTGCTTGGATATTATAAATCTCCGGTCCTACCTCCCCTCCCTTTACCGACATAACTCTTACCGTCAGGGAAGGACAGAAAAACAGCAGCCGACATCGACGTCTGGAGCTTTAGACTATGGAATTGGAAAGACCAAGGAGGTTGGAGGAAAGACGGACACTGATTCGCGCGTCTTCAAATCAAACGCACTGCACAGTCAGTCACCCAGGACTTTGGATACATACAGCTCCGCGGATATCCGGGTCAAAATATTTACTTTATTTTTATTAATTGAAGATCATGCGTTCTTTTTATCATACTTTACTTTGTATCTATTTACATTATAGTATTTGCTCAATATCATTCAGTGGCTCACGACAATAACTAGATGAAATGCATTACATATACATAACGGCAATTTATCTATATACGTATTCATTATTCACTCACATACAGCAAGGACTTGCATACAGTTATTCATATAGGTAAGGTGAGTTACGAAAGCCAGAAGATAAAAAAAAAACATGATTGCATTTAGTGTAATTCAAACTATTGAATAAAACTAATAAATATTATACTAATGACATGAACGGACGGACGGTTTATCATAGTCATGAATATATACAGCGTAATAAAGGGGAATTAAAACAGTTTGGTATTCGCGGGGAGGGAATGAAAATAATTGGCCAGACCGAGCGCCGAATTAGCATGTACCTGCTAACACATGACCCGTGTGTGCGCTGGTAGAACAGTGCAAAACATGTGGCAGTAAATACGTGTTACTCTCCAAGCAGAGGTTTGGGTTTTGGGTTATTTTTGGCGTGTTTGTAGTTTTTTTTAATCGGGGTTTCTGTTTTGCACTGGAATTTTTTTTTACCCAACCCAACGTGAAAAAAAATTCCAGTGCCAAAAAGATACTTGTTACATACAAGTGTAGCAAGCGACATTCTGACATAATAAAGTCTTTACATTTAATATCTAGCACATAAAGAACATTGGTTGTTCAGCTATAGTCTCCGGACAATGATAGTACCCTGATGTAACCGTACTGTTTGGGCAGAATAGCGGTTGGTTGTCGGTCTGTGTTTGAGTCAGACGTGAACTTGATCGCCCCGAGGCACTTCTGAGTGTCTCTCCTGTCCTGTTTGGACACATGATTCAATTTGTAGCCGCCTTCCTCAAGTGAGGCTTAAACCGTGTTTACAGACCAGCCTTACCGGGTTTGACATACTGGATGCCTGCAGGCTTTAGGGCGGATACTGCCGTATCACATCTCAACCCACGGTCTTATCATATGGATCATCACGCTAAACTGTAGATGGGTCAGTCCCAAACTCCCCGCCAACAAAAGACGATCCCGGGAATAAAGAGGAAACAATTTTGGTACATCCGCTGTATCGTATTCTAGGCGTGTGTGAGTGTTCCGCTCTCTTGTGACGGCGCTGAATTGGCGTACTTACTCCGACAAAAGGCGCTGAGAGGAAAGGATAAAACAGGAATTACTTTTATTTTCTAGTGCTAACGTCCTGATACGAGCGTCACACACATGTACATGTGTTGCAGCTAAATGAGCTCATTACCACCCCTAGGCGTGTTATGACAATTAACTACTTAACAAGTCAACTCTAAAAACACGTTGGTTGTCTTTAGTGACCGAGCGCGTGTTTGATAATCAATAGATCAGAAGTGCTTCTCGGAATGTAAATAATTTATTCAACTCATTGCTTTTGTAAATGGCGTTCCAGGAATTCTGGAGGTCCTGAGAGAGTGTTATTGGGGAGGGGTAAGCTGAGTTTAGGGCCGTGCCCGTGACTTCTGAGGGTCACATAACTACACAGCGCAAACAAGACGCTTCCGATACAATTTAGATACGCGAAGAGAATCGGTCAAGAGAGAGGTTCGCGGGCGGCCGTGACCGGCGGGTGAGATATTTGGTGACAAGTCGCTAATGTCCGTCTTCTTGTCAGGAAACACGTCAGATTGTTTGCCCAGAGCGTTTTGGCAGAGGGGTCCGCATTACTGTGAAAACACTGATCTTCTCCGCCCCCGGAAAGATATCTTTCGCGCTACAAGCGTGGATTTATTTGTCTAAGACTCTATGTGCTTTTCCTGCACACAAACCCGGGCTGGCGACCAGGGAAATAGCCTCATCTGGCCACGGTAAGGTCCGGATTTCTCCCAGACCACAATATCAGGGTTTGCCGCCGCGTGTATCAGAAATATCCCACCTACCCAAGAAGTGAGGTCGGCCAGGAGCGGAGTGGTGAAATGTAGCCGGGAGGATGACAGGGCGAGGCGGGCGGCTCTACTGATTAGTCGGGAGGAGTTGGGAGCTCAGCCGCTTGGGAAGTCCTTCCCGCGATGACCGAATGTGATAACATATCCGTCTGGGCTCAGCCGCGATGACAGAGGAATCAGAAAACTTTTAGTTCCCACATTACATTCACCTATATAAGAATAACAACGCCTACTCAAATTCGCGAAAAAAACTACAACGGAACTTAACGCAATCACGTCACGTGTGCGTCAGTTGGTTCAAATCTCGACCGTCAAGAAAAAGAAAAAAAAGGTTCACTCAGGAAATGTGTAAAAAAAAAAGGAACCACCAAAGAGCTTATAGGGAGAACCGCTAAAAATTAAACGGGCCCTGATCATGCACTCATGCGAGAAATGACTTCCTCCATTCGCACCCGAGTCCGAATTGTCGGCTCGGTGGTGGCGAGGCGAGAGTAATTATTTCCCATCCGGCCCTGGTAGCGGCTGGCGTGCAGGCTGCCCCAGGCACACACAGTCACACATGCGCGCTGAGGCCGCACGGTGGCCCATTCCACTGTCAGCTACGCTTGACTTCAGACCTCCGTGCGTCGCCTAGAGCTAGAACAGGAGACAGCCGTTCTCGGACCACCTTGGAGAGCCGAGCTACGCCGGGTCGCGCCGCCACAAGCTTGGATTACGTCCGTACAAACGTCGTAACCCCGTCGTGAGGAACCCGTGAGGAGTTCGCAGCGGATCGCGCGACTGCCTGTCTGCCTGGGCCTGTACGGAAGGATTTGAATACTGCCGCCTAGCTCGGATCGGGAGCAGCCCGCGTGTGCGAGCACGCCACAGTTCTGTATGTTGCCCTCCTGAGAGAGTGAGAGAGAGAGGGAAAAAGTGGACACAGTTACGGGTGATTGACGTGTTTTGTGTTTATGGCCGCGGAGAATGGTCTCGTTCCCACCGAACATCTTCGCGTCACGAGCAGAGGCGTTACGTCCGAGTCGAGTTACGAATTAAAGCCGATTGTTTGGAGCTCGCTACTATTAATCTGAGCCGGGGAGTCGCGGAACAATTGGCAGGGACACTGGCGTCCCCCCAAGTTTGCAGAGTACGAGCTGGGAGCCAGCTGACCTGCTACATGCGGTAGGGACCCCGGCAGCGAGGGACGCGGGCTCTGGGGCGGTCTATCCGGGACAGCGGAGATAGCGCTATGCCTACCCTCAATGTCATCTTGGTGTTCCTGTTATACGCGCTCGTCTCGACTTGTTCTGCTACAGCAAACCAGTGGCTGTAAGTCCGCCCACTCTCTAACCATCCTTATGTGTGTGTGTGTGTGTGTTTGTGTATGTGTGGAGGTTTTTATATGTCAACATCGTTTCCCTGCGGTGTCACACATGTATGTACACATGCCCCGGTTATGGTATTAAATATTATATCGATATTACTAATGTCATCCAAGACTGATTCCTACAGGAAAAATATCATACAAGACGTGTGTGCGAGTGTGTTTTGTTCTATGTTGTAGTTCAGAACATGTACGTTGTATGTAGCATAGGGCCTGGGTTTTCTGGTAATGTGTGTAGTTAGCTGTGCTCTCGGCTTTCTTTCTGGGTGCCGGGCCACCCGTTGTCGTCGCTCGGTCTGACCCGTGTCCTCTTCCCGCCCGCAGGCGCGTCGCGGCCTCGGCGGTCAGCGTGAGGACGGAGGACGCCTGCGAGAAGCTGCACGGGCTCATCAGCCGACAGGTCCAGATATGCAAGCGCAACGTGGAAGTGATGGACAGTGTAAAGGAAGGGGCTCGCATGTCCATAGAGGAGTGTCAATTCCAGTTCCGCCACCGCCGCTGGAACTGCAGCACGCTTATCAACAGACGAGGCCCTGTGTTCGGAAAGGTCCTGGAAGAGGGTAAGTGTGACAAGCATTTACTTTTCCTCGTTCGATATGTGTGTTTATAACGTTGTTACAACCGCGCATGCAATTCTCTCTCAGTCCGCTAGTCATGCAATTTTCCTTTCTCTTCTTGTTATGTTTTTTTTTCTTTCATTGTCCTTCTCCGTTAATTCCACTTGATCGTTCCGTAATCGAAGGCTCTCACAGACATGTTGCTAGTTATGTGGGGAGGGGATTTTTGTTGTCTCTCATGCCGGCGTCTCTCCCACTCTGCATCTGTACTGTTTGCCCTCGCTACATCGCGGCTCAGACCCGCTGCGTTCTCACCCTCGAGTGTTTGAGAAGCTGCTTGCTGAAGTTCACTTGTCCGCGCTCCAGCCCCGACTGTCTCCAGTTGTAGGGACCTCTTGCCTCACGGCTCGTGTGTGGACAGTGGATTGATCCACTCTTCTTCTCACAACCACTAACGAACCAACTGGTTGCCCCGGACACTGCCAAACGAAAACACGCCGCTTTTATGCTCCCACACTCTGCGAAGTTGTTAAAACGCAGGCAATTTCTTAGAACACAAGAGGTTTAAAGTACAACACATGCTGCTTTTATCAAATGATATAAGGGCAGACCAAGGTATTCTAGCTTCTCCTAAATTTGTCCGCGGACTGAACGTTGTGTGGCGGTTGGGACGTGTAGGGTGAAGCGGTCACACTCCGGCACTAATTTTGTGTTGACGTCCGCGTATTGACGGGTTGCCCTCCCTATTTAGGGGACCTCTAACCTCGTACTCCACGCAGCCATTATTAGCCCCGGCCAGGCGCGGCAGCATGGCTCAGCCGTACTTGATAGTGGCCGTGCGGCGACTCTTGACCGCCGAATCATTCATAACCCTCACCGCCACCAGAGAGCCAAGTGGCGGCTTGTCACACAGGAATGTACGGCGGCCAGCCCTGCTTTCCATCCGCACAAACTAGCTCCTACTTCCTAAAAACGTCCTCTCTTCTAATATGTATAATCCCACGGTTACAGGGTTTGTTTATATGTTTATTGGCGTGTCTGTGTTCCTTCTGAAAATGTGGGTTATGTGTGAGCTACTAGTACAGACGTCTGAACCTCACGCTAGCTGTTCTGTTAAATCTCACAATGTCAAGTTCGCGAGTAGTCAGGTGTGACGTTGAATGTCAGTCCGTGTTTGTTTTCGCTGCTCTCGGAGCACAGTTCTGTCTCTGGAAACACAGATGGATACACGTCTGTACAGGGCCACCCTGTCGGGCCATCATGTCTTCAGTCCAGAACGTGCTTCAGTCAGCAATATACAACGAGGTTATGAAAAAGTCAAGGACAACTCATTTTTTTTATTACATCGAGGGGGTATGCTTTTGGTGGTGTTGTTTATTTGATCCTGGCCATGATAAGTAAAATGTTCATCAATGGATGTTTTGTGGTTTGTCGCTTTTGAGAGGGTCTTGGCCAGAGCAAGGAGTTATTAGGGGCCTCCTAGTGGCTTCCTTCAAACTGCAGGTGTTTGTTTCTTTGTCAATTGGCTGTTGTTGAAATACCCCTTTCTTACTTTTTCATATTTTTGATACAACATACATGTTTGATACAATTATTTCTTAGTCTGTATTCATGAACTTAGAAATCTGAGTCTCTGTCTTGTCAAGGAGCTTCAACAAGATACAACGTTGACATGCTTTTTGTAAAAAGACCACTTGTCTAAGAAGACCACTTCCTCGGTTCCTTAGTTGGTCGTCTTACTTAGACACTTTTGAACTTTGTTCCCTGTACGCTGGAAGCGGCGTTCGTGAACCTGGCCACCTACCGGCCTCCATGTGAACTACAGGTGGTTGTTTGTAAGTTGGCTGTTGTTGAAATGGTATGTTTTTGTTGCAGGTACGCGGGAAGCGGCGTTCGTGCACTTGGCCACCTAGCGGCATCCTTGTGAACTGCAGGTGTTTGTTTCTTAGTTGGCCGATGTTGAAACCCTATG